TATTCAAACACCAGTCCCATCACCATATTTCTGGTGTTTCCGTCCCAAACCCCAATCCCTGCCCCAAAGAAAAACCTCGTGGCCAGGCTTTGCCACGAGGGCATGATACTTCCCTCTAAGGTTGGTTGCTTCCTACTTTGAATCCAATCAAATGTGCTGCGGTACTCTTGGAGTATGGGTAGGGTGTGTCCTATGAATTGTCCAGGAATAGGTTCACTCATGGGTGAGGCTCAGTCTGAGTGTGTGGAGAGTGGCAGTGAGCAGGGCAGCGTTTCAGTTCTGGAGGGTTTTGGCTGCTGGGGCTGGGTCCCTTGGGGTGGGGAGGGGTCTCATTTGTCCCCCTCTGGGAAGGGACACTTTTTGAAAAAACAAATGATTTATTTATTTGTTTTGCTTTTTGGGTCATACCTGGCAATGCTCAGGGGACCATATGGGATGCTAGGGATCGAACCCGGGTCGGCCTCTTGCAAGGCAAACACCCTCCCGCTGTTCTATCGCTCTGGCCCACTAAGGCACATTTAAAGAGAGTTGACTAGAGTGGATGTTGCAGGTAAATGTATTGACATGTCGCGCAAGTGTGGAAATGTACACAGTCAAGAGGTGTATGTCCCACAAATCTCACTAAACGCTCTCACAAGTGAACCGGTGACTGCAGCCTTTCCCCAGCGCAGGAAAGAGCCGCATGAAACTCTCCCAACCACTTCTCCAACTCTCCTGCCCACGGGACCCCTGTCCTGCTTCTCCAGGGGGGCGGTGGGGGGGAATGGACTCCTTTTTGCCTGCTGTTGGTATGGATGGAGTTCCTCACTTCGTGTTCTAGCATCGGGCTTAGCTCACCAGCTGTTATACCGGCCAAGTCGTCGTGTTCATTCATGCAGGTGGCAATGATGCGTTCGTTCTTATTGCAAAAGATTCCATTGTGTGAGTGTCCTGTCTTTGTGTACCGATGCTCCTGCCGCTAGGCGTTTGGGTTCTTTCCAGGGTGCGACTGAGGAGCGGTGCTGCCACAGACATGCTCCTGCTTTTCTTTTGATAAAGGTATGAAGACATTCTTTGCGAAGGAGAGGGAGGCTGGGAACTGTGGGGCCCTAGGATTTGCATCTAATTAACTTCGGAAGATAGCGCCAGTTTTCCAGAGTGTGTGCATTAATGCGTGAAAGGTCACTTTTGTCTTCAGATCAACATTCTGTTCCCAGGAACTTAAGAATAAGCCATCTTCTGGTTTGGGCTGTGGGAATAATGGAGGCTTCAGTGAAATCTGCAGCAAATGACTTGTAAAAATGCTCCATCCACTTTAATGCTCTTTCCCCTCTGGATGAATGTATGTGTTTACGGATTTTTATTGGCTTAATACGAGAACCCCCTCGAGGGTGCTGTGGGTCTTCTCATTGCCGTTACTTCCTGGGAGCTGAAGGCTGAGGGTCCAGTCCTGTTTCTTCCAGGTTGCACTCAAATTAAGAGTTCACATTTCTGGAATTCCTTTGTTCCCCCTGGGAAGTGGTATAAAAGACAAGCAACCACTTGGGAAAGAATGCAGAATGCCCACGCTGCCCCTCAGTGCTGGGGATCATCCAAGGGGGCCCGAACAATCTAACCATTGGGGAGAGCTCATTATTTTCATGTTTTAGGGAAGACTTTTCTTTCCATTTCCACTGCTCAGTTCTAACAGCCCTGCAACTCTTGACCCCAAGGTCACTAAAATATGACCTAGAGAGATCATTTGGAATTTCTGTTAAATTAAAACATGCTCACCCCTGGGGGCAGGGGCTTGGCAGGAGAGACGGTTCTGAGGGTAGAGGATGTGCTTTGAATGCAAGAGGCCTCTTCTTCATCCATCCCAGTGACTGCCTGGCTCCCACTTTCATTAGGTGCTGGGAGTATAGGAGTGCTGCAAGTAGCAATAAAACAAGTTACACAAAAGTATTAGCAGCCATTATTAATCGTTCCTAGGATTGAAATGCAGACATAGCCTTGTAAGCTCTTGCCAGAGGGTTCCTTACTACACAGGAACCCAGGAATGTGGGTGTAGGTCTCCCCTCACCCACACCCACCCCCAGTTGCCTACCCCTCCCCCACTCCACACCTTTGAAGAAAAAAGGGATTGATTTTCCTTTTTGGACATTTGGACCCCTAGTGGGTAAGGCAAGGTGGCTCTGATCTACTTCCCGGAAGTTCCTGCTTTTCAGTGGTCTTTTTGCCCATACGCCCACCAGATTGGACAGATGAGATGTGAACTGGACGATTGAAAGATATCAGTGACCTTGACAATGCTCGCAAAGATCTGGAGATGCCACATGCATTGTGTTCCTTTTGGTGCAAGCATTACCCTAGCCATGGAGTAGTTTTAAAAAACCAGGTGGTAGAAAAGTGTTGAGGGGCTGGAGCGATAGAACAGCGGGTAGAGCGTTTTCCTTGCCCTCGGCCGACCTGGGTTCAATTCCCAGCATCCTATATGGTCCCCTGAGCACCACCAGGAGTAATTCCTGAATGCAGAGCCAGGAGTAACTTCTTTGCATCACTGGGTGTGACCCAAAAAAGAAAAAAAAAGTGTTGAGCTTGGGTCAGGGAATGAATGTGACCTTGACAGGAAGCTGGAATCTTGGGGTGGTAGATATGGAGGCCCCCCTCCGCTGCCTACCTCCCTCTCTGTGTGCAAAATCCCTTTTTCCAAAGGGGGTGTGTGTGTGCAGGATTCAAACTCCTGGTGTTCTTTGATGAGAAACACCCGCAGTGAGATCTGAGGCAGAGTTTCACAATCCAGTGGATTAATAATCTGTTTGCGTTGAAATGACAGAATATTTCCAGGGAGGTTGAATAATGATCATAAATGCACATCGGGTTCGGCCCTGCTGCCCAGTCATCTTTTGCGAACAAATGTGTTATGGAGCAGCTTGGAGATTGGAGTTGCACCTACGGGGGCGTTGATCTGCATTGTGCTCCAGTAGGGATGCCGGCCAGCCATGTTTGTCCTAGGTGCCAAGTCATCCTGTCCCAGATTCTCCTGAGACACAGAATTAGGAGCACTGCGAAAGCCACTCTGCCAGGCTTAAATCCCAGCATCCCCAGGGACTGGGTCAGCTTTGTGACACCCCAGAGCCTTAGTCATTCACCTTTGGGCTGCAGTCATAGTCTTAAGATTCAGTGAGATGGTCCATGGGCTCCTTAGATTTTTCCATAAAGGTGTGTGTGTGTGTGTGTGTGTGTGTGTGTGTGTGTGTGTCTTTGGAGAGAGTTTTGGGAGCCACACCTGGCAGTGATCAAGCGCTCATGAATTCATAAATGACCCGTGGCAGAGCCCCGGAGACCATATGCCATGCCAGAGATTCGAACCCGGGTCTGCAGCATGCATTGCAAGCCTTAACCCCTGTACTATGTCTCGTAAAAGTGGTTTTTGTTTGTGATTTTCAGAGGGGCACCCACAGATGCTCAGGGTTTACTCCTGGCTCTGTGCTCAGGGATCATTCCTGGCAGGGACTCAGGACCATATAGGGTGTGAGGGGATCCAACCCCGAGTCAGCTGCATGCAAGAGAAGTACCCTACGTGCTGTACTATCTCTCTAGAAACCCCTTAAGGTTTTTTTTTTTTTGGTGAGACTTCAATATTCAAATTGACAGAGCAGACTCATAAGAGCGGCTGTCCCCGAGAAAGCTGTGACAAATAATTCCAATATCATTATCGGGGTTACCAGCTCTAGATGTCTGAACTTTTCCTACCACCTAAGTCCTTTAAAAAAAAATGGAAAGGAAAGGAAAATAAGCATCTGCTGAAAGAATGAGCAGCACGTTGGAGAGTTCTGATGATTCATAACTCTAATTCTCCAGACTGTAACTCTATCCCATTGCATTGCAGTCCTGCCTGCCTGGGTTTGCTCTCTTTCCCTGTAGCCCCCTCCCCTGCCGCCCCTTCCCCTCCCATCCCCAAGCCCGTACCCCCCCCCCCCCCCCCGATTGGCCTTCATCTGCCCAGCACTTGATGAACTTGGCACTTGCCTGGTTCACCATCTCCGTGCAGGTGTGGTAGGCTGGCTGGGACGCGGGCCCAGATGCTGACAAGCCCTTGGCAGTCGGCTGGAAAGGAAAAAGGGAGAGTTTTGGCGGCCCTCTCTGCATCTGACTCCTTACTCATCGGAGGGTTCCGGTGGTACTTGAAAGCTTTAGGGCAAATGAGGAGGCGCGCGCGCGTGCGTGTGTGTGTGTGTCTGTGTGTGTGTGTGTGTGTGTGTTTGGATTCTCATTTTATAAAAAGAAGAAACAATTTTGGGGGGGGGGGGTGTTGCTTACTGCCTTTGTGAACTTATCTTTGCCCATCCTAATGGTGTTTGGGGAAAGTTTGCAGAGATGCTTCCCGTTCTGGAGAAGTCCCTACAAGTGAACCTGAGTGTCAGGCCCCAGTGTGAATGCGTGTCTTGGCCTGGCCACCTTGTTTCCTGGCGTGTAAAAACTGGATCTTCTCTTAAGGCCACACATACTTGGCTCATTCTGTGAGTCTCCCTCGGGGCTGCTTGGGTAACAAAGGTGATAGATCGTGCAGAGGAGGTAGGGGCTGCCCGGAGAGCCACAGGAGGGAACATGGAAAGAATCCTTTCCAAAGAGCTTTATTACATTAGATTTTCGGGTCTGTAAACAATTACGGCATTCAGGGAGTGCAGGACTTAAATGAGAAACACAACGTTGTCAGATTATACCAGTCGGATAAAATGGCATGGGCTCCGGAAATCTATAATTAAATGTATTTTTGAAAATGAAAAATAAAGTGTAACATCTGGTTTGTTTCACCCCAGAAGTGCCTGTGTATTGCTTCGATGAGTGTGATTGACTTTGGCTGGTATTTGGATTTCTCCGAAATAACTTGTGTTTTAATTAAATTTCTCTACTTGATTCTATTTGTGTTGTAAGCAGATTATTCATACACGGGCAGTGGGGGGGAGGGAGGGAGAGAGAGAGACCAAGAGACCAGGCTGTTAGCAAGTCTAACGTTTGTTCCTTTTCTTTCCTTACAGCGGATATTCAATTCCTTTGTTTACACTGAGAAAATCTCCAATGGAGAGAGTGAAGTACAGCAGGTAAGAGGATACTAGTCCTTGACACTCTTGTCCTTGTCCCCCTTCAGAGCATGACTTTCTTACCCTCCCGGCATCTCCCTAGGAAGGTCCCTTTGGTCCTCTCTCTGTGTCACCCACACCTTGACAAGATGTCAAGAAGCTCAGACAACTGGGCTCCCAAAGCTTGTGAAATGGGTCGCGTGGATCTACTTGTGGTGTTCATTGGAAGCGTTACAGAATTACTTTCTGTTTTGAAAATTCCCAGACACAGAGCAGGAGTTATAATATAGCAGGTAGGGCATATGTCTTGCATACAGCCAACCTGGGTTTGATCCCCGGCATCCCATATTGTCTCCCAAGCACCACCAGGATTAATTCCTGAGTGCAGAGCTTAGAGTAACCCCCGAGCATTGCTGGGTGTGACCCGAAGAGAAAAGATGAAAAATAGAAAAGAAAAGCAAAAAAAGAAAAGGAAAGAAAGAAAGGAAGAAAATTCCCAGATAACTCAAACTTTCAAAGATGAGAAATTATATCATCTGCTAAAAGAAAAAGGAAAAAAGGAACCTGGACTTTGGGGTCAGGACCAAAAACCCAGAGAAGGTTCTGCTTTTCTTCCTTCCTCTCTGAGCCCTGGTTAGCTCTGGGGCCGTTTTGAGTAATAGTTGTCATTTTTCCGGTCTTTGAGCAGGAAAGATAGTACAGGGTTAAATGCTTATCTGCATGCAATGGACTCTGCTTCAATCCCCGATACCGCATCTGGCTCCCCAGCACCGCCAGGAGTGATCCCTGAGCACCGCAGGAAGAGGTGAAATAATGTCACCTTAACTAAGATGAAGTGACTTTCATTCCGTGGAAGGTTCTGGCCTGGAAGCAGCCTCGTAGCTACCAGTTTCTGTTGTTCTTTTCATCCTTTTACTCTTCTTCTTCCTCCCAGTCTTCTTCCCTCCTGTCATCTTTTAAGGCTGTGCGGGATTCTGAGTCTTTATATTGGCCTAAAGAGATGGCTCAGTGGGACGGCGTAACAACTCAGTGTGCCTGAGCCCTGGTTCCATCCCTGGCTCCACGTGCTCCCCTGAATACGGTCAGGAGTGACCCCTGGGCTCTGATCCAGGTGTGGCCCAAAAACCAAGCAATAAAATAAATCATTGTATCACTGTATCACTGTCATCCTGTTGTTCATTGATTTGTTCGAGCACGTGCCAGTAACATCTCCATTCGTCACAGCCCTGAGATTTTAGAATGCTCTCCTTACTTGTCCTTCCCGATGGTGCCATATTGGAGGCTCTTTAAGGGTCAGGGGAATGAGACCTGTTATTGTTACTGTTTTTTTCATATCGAATACGCCACGGGGAGCTTGCCAGGCTCTACCGTGCAATAAAATAAAACAGAAAAAGATTCTACTTATTGAGGCCAGATTATTTTTATGAGTTATTCATAGCAGGCTCAAATGGGAAGCTGCTTCTTTGGTTTTTGGCTTGTTTTATTTGAGGCTGCCCCTGGCAGTATTTAGGGATCACTCCACTCCTGGCTCTGCACTCAGGGATCACTCCTGGCAGACTTGGGGGACCATATGGAATGCCAGGGATCAAACCTGGGTCGGCCGAGTGCAAGGCAAGTGCCCTCCCCAGTGTACTATCACTCTGGCCTTTGCTTCCTAAATTTAAACATAATGCAGGGGAACATAGTCATTAATAATTGATGTGGAAACTGGAGAGAGCTAGTACAGGGGTCAGGTGCTTGCCACTAGTTTGATTTCAGTTTAACTGACTCCCCATATGGTCTCTTGAGCACAGAGCCAGGAGTGACCCTGAGGCTCCTTCAGATCGTGACCAGCAAGCCCCAAAACAAGCAACTAAAAAATTTATCTGTGCGAGGCTGAAATGATAGCACAGCGGGTAGGGCGTTTGCCTTGCACTTGGCCAACCCGGATTTGATTCTCAGCATCCCATATGGTCCCTCGAGCACTGCCAGGAGTAATTCCTAAGTGCAAAGACAGGAGTAACCCCTGAACATCGCTGGGTGTGACCCAGAAAGCAAAATATATATATATATTTGTGCTCAGATAAATAGATGGTAAAGACCTTTCTGGATTTGGATCAGTACAGGAGTTAGTTAAGGCATTTGTTTTGCATGGAGACAATGTAGGTTCAATCTCTGGCACTGCATAGAGCACCCCCTCCCGCCCCACCCCACCAGGAGTGACCCCATGAGCTCAGGGCTCGGAGTAAGCCCAGAATAATGTGGCAAAAATTAAAAAAAAAACACAAGAAGAAATAAAAGAATTCTGGGTTTGCATTACAGCAAATCCTCACAGCCCATGACATGGTAGAGCTGTCTATGGGTAACGTGAAGCTCAGTTTGAAACTTAAGTCAAAAAACAGGATGAGCTAAAACAGAAAGTGTAGCCAGGCGTTGCCCCAGTTTATGAAGAGCTAATGGTAGGAAAGCATAATCGGTTAAATGCTCTGAAATGATGCTTTTGTTTAAGTCATTGAAAGCAGACACTTGATTTGATGGAAATTCAGGAGCGATAGACCAGAGGAAAAAGCTTTGCAAGTCTCATCAAAGATATGGTATAGGATATTATTTATTTATAATACAATGACTGTGGTTTTATCTTGAAGTTCGACATTTCCTGTTTATAGAAGTTCGCATTGGATTTTTTTGTTTTTCTTTTTTAATTGCTGTAGGGCTGTGTTCTCAAGGTACATTTTGTCTTAACTTCACATCATTTAAAAACAAAAGATGGGCCATTGTCGTGAATGTGATGTGGTTTGTCCTATTGAATCTATTCCTTGTAATTCCCCTTATTTTTTGTTTGGCAAACTTGGAAGTGCTTAGGGTCATGGAATTTATAAGGGCTTTTATAGGAAAAGATTTCTATACTGAAAAAACACGTTCTAGGAAACTTTGGGGAGGCTGAAAGCCATTTGATCACATCTTAAAGATACTAATCTAGACCTATCAGTTTTGTTGCTTTCCTTGAAGTAATGGATACAAGTTCTTCTTTGACTGTTTTCAAAGAAGAAAGTTGTTTTGTTGCCTTGGACTGGCTCATTGCTTTCTGCATCTAGCTGAGAACAAATTTCAAAGTCTTTGCTCTTAATGAAATGATTGTAACTGATTCTTTTTTTTTTTTAACCTTTTTGGGTCACACCCAGCCATGTTCAGGGGTTGCACCTGGCTCTGTACTCAGGAATTACTTCTGACAGTCTTCAGGGGACCATATGGGCTGCCTGGGATTCAACCCTGATCAGCCGCATGCGAGGCAAACACCCTACCCTCTGTACTATTGCTCCGGCCCCATAACTGATTCTTTATAGAGCACTAAGCCATGGTAATTGTCATATGTTATCTCATTGGTGTGTGTGTGTGTGTGTGTGTGTGTGTGTGTGTGTGTGTGTGTGTGTTGTTTGTATATGATTTGGTTTTGTTTTGTATTTGAACCACATCACCAGGCAGTGCTTAGGTCTTACTCCTGGTCCTGTGCTCAGGGATTACTCCTAGCAGTGCTCAGGGGGCCATTGGAGTCCCAAAGATTGAACCTAGGTCAGAGTCATACAAGGAAACTGCCCTACTTCCTGTCCTATCTTTCCAACCCCATTTTATCCAAATCATCCTGAAGAATAGATAGTATCCTGATGACAAATGAGGAAACCCCAGCTTAACGTAATATAAGTGGTTTCATGGCTGTTGAGAGAGCTGGTTTCCAAAATGCTTGACACAAAATTATACCATCTATGTTTTAATCTTAACAGTTATTTTTGTGTGTGTGTTTTCTTTTTCATTTTTTGAGACGACAGATAGGGCACAGAACCAACTGAGACTTTATTTTGGAAAAGATGAACTGGTTTCTATTTGGGGGCTAGACAAAAGGCCAGGCAATTAGACCCTCCCCGCTAAAATGTATATTTCCATCCCAAACAGGAATTCTCTTCCAAGCCATCTTTTTCTGAATAATTCAAGTGAGGAAGAATTACCGCGTAATCAATCCTTTATTTCTTCATTGTACTTGTGGAGAAATTTACTCTCTTCTTGACACAGTTTAATTTTTCTCCAGTCTCTCTTAGGTGACCTTTTTCTTTCCTTTCCTTTAGGTGCAGGGGGTGGGGGTACACCCAGGTGTGCCCGGGGCTTACTCATAGCTCTAAGCTCAAAGATTACTCCGTCCAGGAATCGGGAGAACCATATGTAGGATGGAGCCCAGATCAGCCACCTCTAAGGCAAACACCTGACCCACCGTACTGCCACTCAGACCCCCCTGACTCCAGAAGAGAGCCCTGGTCAAATATGAAAACTCTTGATTGCAGTATTTGGAGGCAGATTTCAGGTTATTTCCCCTATGGTGTAGTTTCTCTTGATCTAGCACAGCGGGTAGGGCATTTGCCTAGCAAGGGCCAACCCAGGATCAACTTCTCCATGCCTCTCGGAGAGCCCGACAACCTATTGAGAGTATCCTGCCCACACGGCAGAGACTGGCAAGCTCCCCATGGCATATTTGGTATGCCAAACACAGTAACAGCAAGTCTCACAATGGAGACATTACTGGTGCCCGCTCAAGCAAATTGATGAACAATGGAATAACAGTGCTACAGTGCTATGGTTTAGCCTAACTCCATAAAGTAAATGGAGACACCATTATTAGTCAGATATCTTGACTAATAAGTAATTCAGCTGCCTTAAAAAAAAAAGTGGGGCTGGAGTTATAGTACAGTGGGTAGAACATTTGCCTTGCACACAACTGACCCGGATTCAATTCCCAGCATCCCATATGGTCCCCTGGCCACCGAGTGATTCCTGAGTGAAGAGCCAGGAGTAACCCCTTTGCTTTTTGGAGGGTGACCCAAAAAGCCAAAACATATATATATATATATATATTGAAAATTTTCCCTCCTCGTCAAAATCTTAGCTATGCAGTACGGAGATTTGTTATTAAAATGAACATCTTCAAACTATTACCCAGCTACAGTGTTCTGTTAGGTGACCCTCCAGAGAAAAATCTGTTGTATAGAGTCATTCCT